GTTTTCTCCAGGTATTACAGTTTCCTCCCACAGATCAAAAACATGCATGTTAGGCTGCCTTCAGGTCCAGGCCTCCCTTGCAAAAGAGATCTCTCAGTGGGATTTGCCTGGTTAAATCAAGGTTAATAGATAACAGTCAGATTGATGACCCTCTTTAAAATTCAGATGCATAATCTATTGATCCACTTCTTATGTGTCTTGAGTACATAAAGACCTGGATGGCACTTAACGTTTTGAATTTTAATTAAACCAAAACTGATGTGATGGTTTGTGAAGGCACGACTAGGCTCTTTCCTGTAGTTTCAGGTTCCTTGGCCCAGTATAGCAATCTGACTGAGGAATTTGGGGGTTGAATTTGATACGGAGCAAGACAGACAGGTCAGGTCAGTCTGTAAAACAAGTTTTTATCATTTGAGGCAGCTGCCAAGATAAAACCCATCCTTCCAAGAAAACACTTTGAGACATTAATCCATGCCTTTCTCACCACTTGGCTGAATAACTGTAACACACTTTATTGGGAGTTCAATGAGTCCTCCATTGCCTGACTGCATTCGGTACAAAATGTTGCTGTGCAACTTTTAACTTTCATTCAACCTTTATTTAGACAGGTTAATCCCATTGAGCCTCAGAGACTCATTTACAAGAGAGACCTGATTTCTTAAAAAAGAGTGATGACAACAATGAGTAACCATGACAACAACAGACAGTCACAAAAGAGGCATACTAATTCATTTTATTTTTTTCACATGTAAACGTGAGCACATATTCCCTGTTTAATCCTCACTCCACTGGCTGTGTGAATATTTTAGGATTGATTTGTTTTTTAAATCTATGAATGGCTTGAACCCATCCTACCTTTCTGAAATGCAGCATCCGAACAACCCCAACCACTGACTTCAGATCACCTGAGCAGTAAGTAGCTCCTGAATGTCCCTAAAACTAGACGTAGGCTCAGAGGAGGCATCGTTCTTTTGCTTCAGCAGCTTCTAACTTGTGAAATGAGCTGCCCCTCCATCTGAAACAAGCCTCTTCTTTGTCTGCTTTTAAAAGTCCTCTTAAAATGCCCATCTTTTTGTTCGTTTTTAACTCTTTATGAAGAGTAGATTTGGTCTAATTTTATAGTTTGATCTGAATTTATATCTTACTGTTTTTATTACCTGGGTTTACTTGTATTTCATATAGCATGTTGTTGACTGTGCAGCACTGTGCTCCTCTGTGGTGTTTTAAAGTGCTTTACAAATAAAGTTTGGTGCTTAAACTGTTTCATTCTGATCATCAACAATCGTTCATTTTAAAATAATCTTTATATTTGTGGAACAGTTATAGTTTACAGAGGATGCTAAAGTGGGAGAAAGATTGTTGCCCGCCATAAATGCTCTTCAGTTTGAAGTAACTGTGTGCAAAAGTGCACTTTAATGAGTATAAAGAATCGTGTCTGCTTTCTCTCACCTGCAGCTGGTACAGAAGACTTGCTCGGCACGTTACAACTTACATTACTTTGCATAGTCTGCACCGAACAAATTTCATAACCTATAGAATAGAGCTTTATTCATTTCTGTGCTCTCAATAGATTAAAAGTGCAAGGTCACAATGGGTTTATGGAGCCAAATTAATTTAGAAGGAATTTAGACTTGACTTAGACCCAAGTAAGTAAATGTCTAGTAGCATGTCAGCCTGAACATTCCTAAACCTGTTACAGTAGGTTCTTACAAATTGTCTATGCAACTTAAAATGTTAAGAATTTCACTTTAAGATATTTAATCAAGCCTGATTAAAATCAACTCATAATGTAATGTCATGTTGAACCAACCTAAAGGGAGAATCAGAAGAATTATTAGTAATTATTCATTCTTTTGGACAACTATTTGACAGACCTCACTTTGAAGAAAACAGTTTGCAAAACAGTTCTGCATTTTAACCACAAAAACAAGCCTCTCTTTAAGCTGCCTGCTCATAAACCGTCACTTGAGCCACGTCCCATGTAATCTGCGTTGCAAAACCAAAGCAGGCATGGAGCGGAGCTGTGTCGGACGTGTTCCGTTCTAAATCCCACAATGGGCTGGGCACAGATTATCTGACATCAATACATTACATCCTTTATTTGCTTCAGTCAGAAACATAATTTGTGATGTTCTGTGTCTTTACAAGCAACCGTTTGAGAGCAAACAACAGGAGCGGTGGATCTTAGCAGACAGGTGAAATAATTCACATCACAGGCATGACAGCCGAGAAAAACATGAACAATAAAGTTTCTGTCTTCATCCTCATGTTGACGGTTATGTTGGCGGCTTGATAATGCAACAGCCACCTGGGTTGCTCCAGAAATAATAATGACAGCAATGGGATGTTGCAGGCTATGCTTGATGTGTTCAATTCAATTCAGTTTACTTATATAGCGCCAAGTCACAAGAGAAGTCATCTCTGGGCACTGAACAGAAACATTTGTATATAAAAATAATAATTTAACATTATTTATCTGAGGAGCAGAGTGATCTGAGTTTAACTCCATCACAGAACTCTCATATTGAACAAGCATGAAGGCGACAGTGGAAAGGAAAAACTCCCTCATGAGGAAGGAACTTATAGCAGAACCAGGCTCAGGACAAGCGGTCATCTGCTTCGACCAGCTGGGTTTGGTAGGAACAGATACACAATGGCAGGTTAAGAATCACGTTAAGATAGAAATTATATAAATTGAAAACTATTCAATTTTAACAATTCATTTAGGGAAACGTGGTCAATTTGTCCTCTACTAGTCAAAGCTTAAGGCAGCATAACAAGCCAACCCTAACTATAGAATTAGTGGGAGAGATCATATCTCTCCAGTTTTAGCTTCTCTCCATTGGCTCCCTGTCAAATCCGGAAAATAATTCAAATTTTTACTTCTAACCTACAAATACCTCAACAACCTAGCTCCATCTTGTATTTGAGATCTTATTGTTCCATATTTTCCTAACAGAGCACTTTACTCTCAGATTGCAGGCTTACTTGTGGTTCCTAGAGTTTCCAAAAGCAGAATGGGAGGAAGATCTTTCAGTTATCAGGCTCCTCTCTTGTGGAACCAACTTCCAGTTTCTGTCTGTAAAGCTGACACATTGTCCAGTTTTAGGGCTTAAGACTTTCTTTTTTGATAATTCCTCCAGTTAAGACTCTGGCAGCAGCATTTTGGATCAACTGAAGATGTTTTAAAGAATTATTTGTACACCCAGATAATAAACCATTGCAATAGTCCAGTCTAGACGTGACAAATGCATGAACCAGTTTTTCTGCATCATTTTTAGACAAGATGTTTCTAATTTTAGTGATTTACGCAGATGGAAGAAGGTGGTTCTAGTAACAGTTTTAAGGTGGGGGATAAAATACATTTCCTGATCAAAATAACACCAATATGTTTAACATTAGAGCTGGAGGACAGATTAATGTCATCTAAAGTGAGAGAAAGACTGAAACATTTATTCCTAAAATGCTTGCGTCCAAAAACTAACACCTCAGTCTTGTCTGTGTTCAAAAGCAGAAAATTTTGTGTCATCCAGATTTTTATGTCTTTAAGACATGCTTGTAGTCTGAGTAGCTGATTGGATTCATTGGGTTTCATGGACAGATATAATTGTGTATCATCAGCATAACAATGAAAATTCATCCCATGCTGTTTAATAACATTACCTAATGGAAGCCTATACAAGGTAAAGAGTATTGGTCCAAGCACTGAACCCTGAGGAACTCCATGACTACCTTTGTTGTATGATGAAGATTCATTATTTATATTTACAAATTGGAATCTATAAAATAAATATGATTTAAACCAATTACCAAACCAGTTCTGTGAAAACAGCTTGATTTTCACTGGACCGACTAGTCCAAAAGCAGACAAAACTAAAGTGGATTGTTGCTTCCTAAACAAGTGAATTCATCCATGTCACATAATTTGTTTATTCCAGCAGAAATATTGTGATTTTACTTCCAGAGACAGGCTCCACCAGAAGCGCTATAGCTAACAGCTGCTGCTGCTTTTTGTGCTAGCCAACAACCAAAGAATGCTGCGTCAATAACCTTGTAATGCGTAAGTAATGCTCATGTAAAAGTTTATACAATTCAGACTAGCAAAATATCCTAAAACTACTCCCCTTGCCTCCAAACTGAGGTTTGCTCAAACAGGTAAGATAGTATCTAAAAAAGTTAAATCTGGTCCTCTGGATATTCAAAAAACAAAAAGCAAAACAACAAAAAGGTAAGATAGTAATTGTAACAACCTTTCCCCAGAACGTACAAATGTGACAAAAATAAGTTAGGCCAGCACCCTTTCAGATAATTTACCCTATCTTTATGAGCAAAGACATTTTATTTGTTTTGAACTTTAATCAGTTGAGGAAGAGGCTGAGTCCACTGGCTGAACGTTGGAGTTAATGATGCAAGCATTCAGAACGTTGCCACTTCAAACTAACATTACTTAGTCAAGTTCAGTCAGGTCCTCTGGACGGTTTATTTGTGTTGAAACGTTTAATGTTTCATCCAGAAGACTTCTTCAGTCTTCAGTGGTTCAGATTTGAACCACTTTGGTTATGGCTGCCTCAGACCAGTCAGCGGGGGAGAGGGCGGACTCCAGAAACCATCTCCATCAAACTGGTTGTGCTGCTCGTGGGACTGACTTTGTTGTGGCTCCTGGGACTGACAAAGTCATTTGGATGACAGACAAAACTTTTTCAACACAAAGAAACCGTCCAGAGGACCTGACTTAACTTTGTTGGATGTTTACCTGATTATTGAGCATGAACTTTGATTATTGGGGGGGGGGGGGGGGGTTAAATTTCAGAGTATCTGCATCATCTACTGTCGAAACAAATTGCTCATCTTCAGTGCATGGTTTGGGAAAACTGCACAGCATCATCTGAAAGTACCTGTTGAAGGGGGGGGGGGGGGGGGGGGCGTTACCAACGCGCTGCGCGCTTCCTCGCTCGCGCGCCCAGCTGCTTGGTGGAAGCTGCCAGTCTGCTCTCGCAGTTTGCGTGAAATGGTGACGGGGTTGCGGTGCGCGCAGGGATGGAAGCGTGCTGACGGGTCTGCTGCCACCGGAGGGACTCCAGACCGGGGACGTGTGAGAATGACAACATTAATGTCTGCCCTCCGTGCAGAGGAGACAAACAGTCAAGTTGAGCTGTAGCGCCTCCACCGAGCCGTGCCAATGCTGGAATGGCTTGTTGCTTCTTGTATTCTTGTGATCTTGGTGGTCCTGGTATGGCCACGCGCCAGATGTTTTGGTACCGAGTGTCAGCCGGAGGTTCTGCTTCCCAGAGCCGGTTTGTCCCAGCGGGCTGAGGGGGACGGGACCGGGGGGGAGGACAGGAAAGCACACGCTGCGCTCATCTGCAAACCGTCCGCGCTGGCCAAGTACCTCCAGAAACACTGCAGGACTTTCTCCAACTACTCGCCCTGCGTGGGCTGGACGTGGCGAGCCAGCGCCGTGCTCCAGACTGTGCACGAGGCGTGCTGGCCCCACGAAAGCGCGCTCCAGTTCGTGCGAGACAACCTGCAGCTGAGCGACGACGGGCTGGTGTCTCTGGACTGGGCAGTGCCGTCCTACCACCGGAGACGCAGGACCTCCAGTCACTCCACCAGTCCCGTGCTGCTCATCGTGCCCAACTCCTTCGGGAAGATCACGAGGAATGTCTTGAAGGTAAATCTGCATCTCGTCATTAACTGGACACTTCCCACGTTCCTGGTGGGGGTTCAGTGAAAAGCGTTAAGTGCTCGGTAAGTTTGCTGAAGAAGCTGGAACTGAGCGCATGCTCAATAATCCAGGTAATCTAACAAAGTTAAATTAGGTCCGATTAGGACAGATTCAAACTAATAACAATTTTGTTGAAACGCGTTGTCTTTAATCCAGAAGACTTCTTCAGTCTGAGGAGCTGCACTAAACTCAGCCTTATAAACAGCCCCAGTTTGTTGTTGACAGCCAGAACTAGCTGTTCACATGATAAAGGAGGACCATCAGTGATGGCCGCTTGCTATTCACAGAGAGCTGAGTGATGCTAGCAGTAACAGTGCTTAGTTTGAGCCGGATCCTGCCGGAACAAGATCCGGGAACGGTCTTATTTTGACAGGGTGCGTTCCAGCAACTGTTTGCTTGGATCCGGCAACTCTCGGGCTTACGAATAATAAAGTTGTGAACAAATATGCTCCCCTCTGCTGCTGAGACAATAAATAAATAACTCCAACAACTTCGCTGCTGTTTTTACGACGCTCTGTCACCCACAGCATGCAGCAAAGAGTATAAACTCAAAGCGAGAGCGATACCTGCCCCGCTTTTCCTCTTTCACTTTAACAAAATGTTTTAGTTTTATCCATGAGTTTGTCAAAGTCACAATTTTGATGTTTGATTGTTTGTGTTTAATAAATGTCCAGACTCTATTATTTGCTAACAAATTTATATCATTAAACAACTTGTCCGGTTCTTCTCTGAGCATGCGCGTCCCCCAGGACCCGGCCTTCCCACTCTTTGCGTTCCGGCATCGATCGGTTTACAGATTAAGTCCTGTTAGCGTGGTACGAAGGGGACATTTGGACACGGACATGTTTGACACAGAACTGAGTTTGAGTTGTTAAAGTTAAAATGAGCAAAGCAGAAGCTTGGGGGAGTGGTGGCGCAGAGGTTAGAGAAGGTGGGCCTGTGATCGGAAGGTCGCCAGTTCAACCCTCGGAACCTGCATCATCAAAATGTGGGTGGGATAGGTGAAGCACCCACACCAGCCTCCACCCTCATTTGCTCCGCCCTTGAACAAGGCCCTCAACCCCCACCATCTGCTCCTCAGGGCAATGTAGATTAAGATGACTACATTTCTGAAATTAAATCTGGGGACATTTTCAGCTCGGAGACAAAAAAATAAACTATTATCAAGATGAAATTAAAACCGGGGACAGTTACGGTTTCATTTATTTTTACATATTTATTCATGTTTAAACAATAAAAATCAAGTGTAGCAGCAGGAATGTATCTTTCCACGCACATTTCTTAAGAGTAACAAAGTAAAAGTAGTAGCATTGGTGTCAGAAACATTTGTAATGCGGGGGGGGCACACTGGTGCGGTGCGTCTGGGGGTCTTCCCCCAGAAAATGTTGAATAAAACAGAGGCCATTTCCTGCGTTCTTGTGCATTTTCATGAGTTGTTAAACGTATGTTTACCAACAGAAGTGAACACTTGAGTCAATGCATTTTAGAGAGCACGGCACAGGAAGTGGTTTGATCTGGGCTGAATCTTAAGCCATCACTGAATTTGAATTGCTGTTTTGAAAATGAATTTCACTAAATTGAAACTGAATTTAGTGATTTGAAACTGAATTCATTTGCTTTGAAAATGCAGTTTTATAATTCAGTTTCAATTTCAGAATTCAGTTTTTTGTGTCACACATCCGGGTCCCTCCACAGTAATCCAACGCAGATTGATGATTGACGTTTCCCGTCAGTGAAACTTCCTCTATAAGGAAGGAACAAATTGAACAGGTCTCTCTAGTAAATGAGTCCTCGTGACTCAAGAGACTAACCTGTATAAATAAAGGTTGAATGGAATTAATGAATTTTGAACAAAAAAAAAGTAAAAATAGAAAATGCATTAAAATCGTAAATAAATGTGTGTGCCTCATCTGTCAGGTCTGGTAGAGTCATTTAATTAGTTCTGTGTTAGTGGGCCACATGATGATGATGGGTCACAAATGATGTAGCATAACACTAACTAACAAGAAAAGCTAAAAAAAAATTTAAAAAAAAAGAAAACTAGCAATAGAATAGCTAATAGCTACAAAACAATAGCTAGAACGTAAAAGTAGCGAAATGCTAGCCAGATGTAGTAAAATTCTAGCTAAAAGCTGAAAGAAACTAAATGAGAGCTAAAAGTAGAACAATAGCTAAAATATTTAAAATGATGTAGCATGTAACACTAGCTAACAATAAAAGCTAAAAAAGTGAAAACTAACAATAAAATATAGCTCCAAACTACAAAAGAATAACTAGAATGTAAAAGTAGTGAAATGCTAGACAGATTTAGCAAAATTCTAGCTAAAAGCTGAAATAAGCTAAATGAGAGCTAAAGGTAGAGCAATAGCTAAAAGCTAATATCTAGAAAAGAATAGTTAGAACGCAAAAGTAGTGAAATGCTAGCCAAATGTAGCAAAATGCTAGCTAAAAGCTGAAAGAAGCTAAATGATAGCTAAACGTAGAACAATCGCTAAAAGCTAAAATCTAGAAAAGAATAGCTAGAACGTAAAAGTAGCAAAATGCAAGCCAGATGTAGCAAAATGCTAGCTAGAAGCTGAACGATAGTTTATCGATAACTAAAAGTAGAACAAAGCAAGTAGTTCATTTAAATAAACAATAGCTACAAGTAGAAAAATAACTAAAAACTAAAGATAACAAAAATACTGGATGAACACTAAAAGTAGCAGACCAACAGCTAAAAAGTGGACGTAGAAACAAAGCAAAAAGTAGATTCATTATGTGGAAACAGATTTCATAAAAGAAAATGTTAACGTTTATTAAATGTGTTTTCATTAACTGCTGATAATTTTTTACAGCACTGCTGTTTAAACAGCTAAAGACACAGCTGTTTGTTTTCCTGTCAGCTGGCCACAGCAACAATACTTTCTTCTCATATGTTTTGTTTTTTGTGAAAAAAAAAAAAATTGCTGCCATCCACTGTAAAAAAAAAATCATAGGGATCATGTGAATGGTATTTTTAAAACGTGTACATTGTTGTCAATTTCCCATTAGTTATTTCAAATAAATAAATAAAATGATGTACTCTAGATAGCACAAATAGCATTACTATCACATGACTGTCACAATACTTCTGCTGAAATAACCATGAAATAGACAACTGATAGTGATGTGAAGGTTTATAAAATGATGTTTGCATGAACCACAGTAAAAATGTCAAGACTGGAGTTGCTTTAAAACTTTTTGTAGCCACTCGAACTAACTGTTAGTTTGTCAATTTGGACAGAATTATAACCTGTTTTTTATAGTCTGAGGTCATTCAAAGCACTAACGGGTAAGATATTAACTTTTCACGACCTCTCCACAATGTGAAAACTACAACACAAGACCACAACAGTTGAAACTAAAAAAAAAGTTTCACATTCTCATGAGCCTAAAAAAACAAACAATTAAAATGTGCTGTCATATTAACTAATTGACTAGATTGTCCTGGAAATAGAAGGTTGTAAATCATAACTTTGTCCTAAAGTTTTAAAACTGAACTCTTTGTTCTCATTTAACATACAAACGTCACACCGGCCTCATGTAGCGTGCCAGAAAATTAGTTGCCCGGTGCTCCTATTACAAGATGAGTCAACCTGATGGAAACATAAGAGCTGCATGAGACCAAAGTGTAATATTTCTTTTTCTCCACCACCAGTAGATCTCAAACCGAAGAGTTGGTCTAATTCAGATAATGGAATTGAGAAAGGTTGATTTTGCTGTCCGCAAAACCAATTTGCCATAGCAGCAGCGCCTCAAGTAATGTGAAAGATTCCCGTCCAAATTTGCCATTTGGGCGTGGGCATCTTCTTGAGCTTAAGCCAAGGCGAGCTCGTTTGGAGGAAAAGAGAGCGGAGCAGCAAACATTTTAAAAATAAACAGATGCAGCTCCAGTCTTTCAGCTGTCCTTTCAGCTGACTGACAGAGGTAATCGAGTGAGGGATTACAAAGCATTGCTTGACTTGTGAAGCCTGGGAGTTGCATCGCCACAACACACAAATGCTGCTTGGCTCTCTTATCCTCCACTGCACCTGGCATCATGGTTCATTTCATGCTGTTAACCTCTGTGTGCAAATCTGCCACCGGCTCACAGTCAGCTTGATGTCAGCAAGGAACAAAAAACAACTCTACGAGGATCATTTCAAAAAGAAAAATGTGTTTTCTTCTTGTGTTTTTGTAAATAAAAATAAAAAAAATGCACCAGGACAACGTAAGGAATAAAAAAGGGACTTGAAAATGATGAAGATAAAGATGTGTCACTCCGACAGATACGGGCTTCATTTTTTTCTACACTGCCAGACTTGGGAATATTTGCGATGCTGTCAACCAGCTTTGCTTGAGGGGACAGGAAGCTGAGGCGCAACAATGAAGATGGCTTCTGTCACTGGTGAGATTCACCGTGCAGAAAGCGGTCACAGCGTGAGCGAGTGCACAGGAGATAGATGGACGCGCACACACTTATCTAAATCTGTGACACAGAGAAGAAGCAGAGGGGGAAACGTGCATGTTGTTTTAAAGTCTGTCTGCTCGTGCTTCCTCTTGTCCTCAGTTTTAATGTGACCTGTTCCAGGAATTTACAGGTAAATGAATGATTCATATCGGCTTAAATTATTCAAACTTCATGCACAGTTTTTTTTGTGCTTGCCCGCCGCCTTTCAGACCAAGATCAGCTTACGTTGAGAAAGGAGATGGGTGGGGGGGGGGGGGGTGCAGAGATACACCTGGGTGTATCCCAGGTGTGATGGGTTAAAAGGGAAGGGAAGGAAAGTCACAGATACAAGGCGTTTTCTAACCCTGAATGCTAGAAAACGCCTTGTATCTGTGACTTTCCTTCCCTCAATTGATTTTGGTGATATTATTTACATGAACGCTCCTACAAGAACCCTGCAGATGTTGGATGCTGTCTATCATGGTGCACTAAGATT